CAAGAAGGTTTGCGGAAAAGCCGCCTGTAGAGAAGGACCATAGCTAAGAGCAGGGCTGCTGTTCCCAGCAGCTATGTGACACTTCCTTGGAGATTCGGCTGATGCCAGGCAAGGATTGTGCTGCCATTTGACGTTAGGCGGTACCCGGCCACTGAGGCTGGCTGGCCATAGCTGCTAGGGAGGACTCCAGCTTCTCTCGTCCTAGCTGTTCCTCCCCCAGCTTGGAAACGGGCACCCGCATTGCTCACGGGGGCCTGTACGCTGAAGGACAGGAGCTGGCCACAACCAAATCCCAGGGGAGGGGATTTTTCCTGTGCTGTCCCGTCCCTGCAGTGGGCCATCAGCTGGCCTGGGCAATCTCTGGGCCCTCTGGGCTGCCCACACCACCCTCGCTGCAGTGGCTGCTGTGTCCTTGGCCAGCCACCCCACTTCGCTACTGGGAGGGATGAGGACAGGCGCATGTACGATATCTCCTTCTTCATCCCCAAAGGGCAAAGCTGCCCCTCCTGAACGGAGAAAGAGATGGACTGGGACGTGCCAAAGCCCACGGCTCCAGCAGTCTTGGCACAGCTGCGCTGAGAAGTGGGCGCAGGAGGAGCAAAGGAGGCGTTTGGCAGGTAGGAACCAAGCTGCTGGCTGAGACGGCAAAGTACAACGTGCATAACCCTAGCACGGGCTCTCAGCACGAAGCCTTATGGTGCTTGCCCACCTCCCGGATTTGCCAGGGCCAGACCACGCTCTGTTCTAAACCGGGCACATCCTTTCCACTCAGTCCGAAAGATCTGCTAGCGAGCTCCCAAACGTGTTAGAGCTGCTGGATGGTGAGCAGAGCCTGCAGCCTCCTTGGACCTCCTCAGCTCATGCTTCTTGATTCCCTGCTTGCATCCGGCTCTCTGCTTTATTTTCGGTACCTGCTTTTCTCCCAGCACCAGCAGGGTGATTAATGCGTTGTGTTAAACTGCCAATGAAAACAAGAGTCTACTTTTTCCCATCCCCTGGTGAAAAGGATGTTGCCATGGAAATGGGAGACTGCACCACTTCTCTTCCTTGCTCGCTCTCTTCTTTTTTTTTCTCCCAAAGAGTGTTTGTGATGTTTTTTCTAAAATAACAGGCGCCCAGAGAGATGCGTCAGAAGAAACCCAAAACTGCAGGATAATCACAAGACCCAGCAATCACTCATTTTAGGTGACATTCATATGACCTTCCCAGGACAAGTGGCCAGCCCCGAACAGGGAAGGGGGAAAGCTCACGTGCGGAGAGACTTGGACGGGGGCTACGAATCGACTCCCAGTGCCAAAGGAGACCAGCGAAACACAGGGCCGAGGGACGCAGCACCATGCGCAAGAGGGGCAGCTGGTCCTCCAGGGAAGAGCTGGACAGCATTACGGCGCAGAGGCTGCAACGACGCTGTCGGCCAAGGCTGCTCTGTGCCGCGGCCGCTGCCGGATGTGGGAAGCTGCCCCCACCTGCGCACCAGGCATTGGCGGGGCTAGAGAGAGGGGGACCGAGTTAAGGCCTCACACAAATGAGGTTTTTGGGACCCTCTCCCTCGCAGACACAAACCAGCCAGGCCACGGGGCTGGCACTTGTCCGGGGCTCACACATTGAGGATTCAAAGGTGGGGACTTTTCAAGCGCGTGACAATACACTCCTGTGCTGCAAGACAGGGAGGGGAAAAAACACAAACCAAAACAGGAGGCCGTAAAGACTCTTCCACACGTAGTTTGTACAACCTGGGTCTTAAATTAATGATGAAGATTCCCCATAAGCACCGGGGTTGCTAGGGAACGCGCTTGGGAATATCAAATTGGCAAGCGTGTCCTTGAAAGCAAAGGTGACAAAGAACGAGGAGGTGAGGAGATGGGCAGAGGGAGAGCCAAGGGTTTGGAGATGAGGGGTGAGCTGCCGCGTGCCTCTGGATGAGCGTCCTGGCTGCTCTCTTCTTTCCGACTCCATAAGGATGCCAGGGGAACGGCTGGGGAAGGATTAGGAAGCACAGTATCTCCATGCTAAAGATCCCTAAACGTGTTTCTCTGGGCGCTGTGGCCACCAAAGCCTTCCCCCTCATGCAGCAGAACAAAAGCAGCTCTGCAGAGAAGCAGGAGCCTCATGAAGTACCCACGCTGGATCCCACACTCCTCGAAGGAATACTTTTTCCCAGCTGCTTTTCATTCCTTCTTTCCCCAGTGCTCAACCCCTGCCTCCCAGCTCTGCCTTGCTGGGAGGTGCCTCACTCTGCCTCCCAAGAGCAATGAGTCTAGTCCAGCCTCAGTTTGCAAACCCAAGGGAGGAGACTCGGGGAGAAGCACCATGCCTCAGCAGTCCCCAAGCCCTGCGAACCCTCAGTCCAGCACAGATCCGATGTTATCGTGCCAGGCCTTCACCATGCCGGCTTTTGGTGCCTCTGCCCTGCTGCGCAATTTGCCTCTGCGTATGTTGGAGCATCAGCCCCACGCGCGTGTGCAAGGGCCAGTGTGACGGGACAAGTGGGTCAGCCAGGGGCTCTGTCTCGCCGCAGGCCTCAGTGCCGAGTGGCAGCCCATGCCCTCCCTTCTCCCTCTCGCAAACCAGCTTCATTGTCCGTTTGCTTTGAAAGATGACTTCGCCACTGTCCTGATGGAGAAACGGAGCCATCGAGATGGGACAGGTCACGTCCCCAGCTCGCGCTCCTGGAAATCCATCTTGTGGGCGTGTGCGCTGATGCTCCCTGCCGGCAGTGCAATGAAGAAGAGCACTGGCTCCGACAGATCAAATTAGGCCATCTCCGGCATCCATCACTCTCTGCTTGCTGCGTCAGAGAGCCCCGGCAGCCAGACGGGCAGGCTGAAGCGTCCTTCGCTCTGTTGGTGATTTCAGGGGACACAGAGCCTTTTCAGCAAGCTTTGTCTGCATTCACCAGGTGCTTTCCAACTCCTGGGCTTGCCAGGAGACACAGAAAGGCAAGGGGCAGCCCTCAAGGTGTGTCTGCTTGCACTGATGCAGCCAGCGACCATTCAGTGAGAAAGGACCAAACTGATGGGAAGGAGGATGGGGACACAGGAGCACTGCATGCTCCCTAACCACGAAACCACAGGTGCAGACTGTCTCTTGGACCGTCTTCCCCAACCCGTGGACTCTCACGCTGCTTCCCGGAGCCCTGCTTGAGCGGAAGGGTCCGAACTCCCCTGCGCCTGGCCTTGGCAGCCGCCCCACTACAGCCACGCCA